CGTCCCACGAGCACTAAAGCCACCACAAGCAGGAAATGAGCACAGTAAGGATGCCAAAATGAAGACCAAGGGTTATCCTCATACTGTGAAACAGCTGCAAGGAACTCCTGCCCCCTAGAAGCCAGTGGCTCCCTGCCAGCTCCGTGGGATTTCCCACTGCACTGGGAGTTGACGGTGTGTTTTGAATCTCAGCAAAGAGAGCAGGAATTACCTGTGCCAGGAAGACAATTTTTTTGTAACTGACAAAATGCTGACCTGGCTTCAGAGCCCAACAAGCTGGCAGAAAACCAATCCTAAGGAAAAAAGAAGAAATAGTAATCCTGTGCCGCATTCATGAGCTGAATCTGCTCAGCAGTGAGTACCAGAGATGAGAACAGAGCTGCGAGGACGAGGGCAGAACAGAGCTGGAAGCAAGACTAAGGCAGCAGGACTGGCACCAGCCAGCAGGCTCAGCTCTCTCACCAAACTGCACCTACAATCCACGTGGGCAAATACACAGGTGACCAGCAGGAAAAGGTTTCCTCCAGATTATTCAGATGACGTGCACCAAGGCACAGAGATAAGTTTGGTGTCCCCTCCTCCTTTCCAAAAAGGAAAATAAAGGGAGACAAAAATCTGTCTGGGTGCAGCTAAAGATACCTCCATCTTTGTGTTTCCCCTGTACTAATTTATTGCACAGACTCATGCCACACTCCACAAAACAACTCAACCTCTTATTTGCTTTTGAAAGACTCTTGTATCCAGGAGACAGGATAAAGAAAATGACAATGCTACTATTCACTCTGTAGCAAAATTAGCATTCCGAAACAAAACACTTTCGAGTCACTCGAAGTGAATTTAAAGCCTGTGCCTATGTTGACTTTAGTTCTGTATCAACTTTAATTGATTACAGGAGTAATCTTTTTAGTTGTTTTCCTGAGTGCAAGGAGAATGTTTTCTGCAAGAAGGCAAATGTGGATGTGACAATTAAAATTACAAAGAAAAGCACTTTTAAAGCCTTAATGAACTTTACATAAGCAAAAAGCTGTAGCATAATAGAACTCTCAGGCCTCCAGGTTCACTGCAGGACACCCTGCATAGACATAGTGTTAAAATTAAACCACAGTGTTCATGGTTTAGTTTACACCAGAGAAATTCAGGATGAAAGGATACCAAAGGACGTTACAAAGTGATGACACAGAGACACATCAACTTTCCCATCTTAGAGTTTTTTTTCCCAAAATCTTTCAAAGACAGAGACTCTTTGTAATCATACCATGCAGAGAACCATAGAATCATTAAGGTTGAAAAGACCACTGAGATCATTAAGTCCAACCCCAGCCCACCCCACCATGCCCACATGTCCCTCAGTGAAACGTCCCCACAGAACACCTCCAGCTGACAGCTTCTGCAGGAGAATTCTGCAGGTGAATTTCAAATAGAAGAAATGGGAGAAGTTCAACTAAAAGTATGAGTGTTCAAGTAGCAAATTGGGTGTGGAGTGCTGCAGGGCTGTCTCGAGAGAGCTGTGGCAGCTGTGCAGCACCAGAGGAAGGGAAGGCATCACTGCAGGGAAGATGGGTCCAGCGCTGGGGATGGCACCGCACATCTTGCAGCTGAAGGCTGAAACACACAGAAACCTTGGGGGAGCAGTTGCTGCCACAGCTGGGTCCAAACCCTGAAATAGTTATTTTTACAAGCAAGTTTCTTCCTAGTGCTCCTTGTTAGGGAATACACTATGCGGAATAATTTAAGATTACCTCTGGTCTATTTTACAGAGCTGGAATAACGTAACACGCATCTGTGTAAAAACTTGTGCTTGTGGGTTACCTGTGTGGAAACCACCAAAAAAGACCTACCCAGCTAGTTGATTTGAAAGCAGTGATATGGTATGTACAGAAAGAATTAACTAATACACTGTCGTTACACATGTTTCACAATGTTTAATCGCCTCGGCATAAAATGGTATCTCGGGCATCTTTTCTCCAAAATAACACAGAGAAATCGCAAAGGTTGGCAGAGCTGTGGGTGGAACTGCTACAGATGTAGGAAAGCTTTCATATGAGAATAAGAAAACAGAAAACACTTGGCAAAGAAAAAAATGCTATTGTTATAATACAGGCTTAACTAAGCAATGAATAATAACGAGAAAGTAAATCAAACATCCTTATTTACTTCTCATCACAGAAGAATGAGGTATCACTTGAAATGAAAACAGCAGATTTAAATTGAATACAAGGAACATAGTATTTCACATAACATAGGAACATAATACAATATTAACGTAACAGGGAACATAATGTTTCATATTATGACTGAGTACAACTCACTGCTGTCAGAAGGCTGCAGAGCCAAGGGCTTAATACAAATAACAGTAGCTGCTTGTAGGCACGACCAGAGTGCACACAGCTAAAGCAGAAAAGAGAACTTGTTTGTAAGGGGATAAGTCAGGACCTGCATGTACAGAGGTAGGAAGAAATTTCAGTTACTGCTACAGATGTACAGGTTGTGAGATTTCCTGCACCCTGTAAAACTCCTGATGCTGGACTGAATGCCCAGAGCTGTGACCCAGCACTGAATTTGTTCTCCTTATGCGTATCAAAATACTATGGCTCATTGTCTCCATGCAGAAGTTCATCCAAACCACGGATCATTTCATTAAAAAATAGATTACATTAAGAACTAAGCCTTGATTTTCCATTTTGTTTCGTCCTATGGTTTCAGATTTTCTTTTTCATGACCAGCGCAAAGAGACTTTAAATTATAATCTAACTCTTGACATATACTGTAGTGTATGTTTTAATCAAGACTCCCAGAGGAAAGGAAAACCTAACACTATCCTCAATCACTTTACAATTTTGATTAGTGTTTTGATTTTTTTCTTACTAAACAGCAATATTTATCATGCCTGCTTTCCACAAAGCCATATTTCATTTATTCCAGATATGCACATTGAGATGTCTATCACTTAAGTATGTCACAGTTACCCCTGAGTATTATTTACTACCTGCCTTTTTTCAGAATGATTAACAGCATGTTGCATACTCCCATTAAACCTCCACATACAACACCACTACCTCTAATGGATCTGAAGTAGCTTATTAGACCTCTGTGCTTCAAGGCAAGGCATTTTCTCCTCATACTGCCTTTTGATTCTCAGCTCCCGTAAGTCTCATCTTTCAAAATCCTCTCACTTTTGGTGCTTTCTGTTTTGGGCAGGAGAGGGCTCCTAGCCCATTACCTATCTTTTAACATCCCATTTTACCTGTATGTTAAACCTCTACTTCTTAAGATTGTATTCTCACTGCTTCTAAAGAACTTTGCTAAAATTTGGAACGATTAAGAATACCGCCAGCATCACAAGGCAGACCATCAGTCCTGGCAACACACGCAGCTCTCTGAATGTATGACTCAATAGTGGCATTCAGTGACAAGTGAAACCCAGCTTTTGAGGGCTAACACATTTCTGCAGGGCAGATCCTAATGGAAAAGTTTAAAATAGAGCTAATCAACATCCTGGAATCATTTTGAACCACATGAGGTTGCCTGGAATGGCAGTCTAGAGGAAGTCAGTGTTTCCCTGTGAGGATAAGTAGCTCTTGTACACCACACTTCCCTGCTACCAGCATGTTGTGGCATTCATGTTGCAGCAAGGCTCAAAGTATTCTGCAAGTTGTAAGGACAGCAAAATGTAACTAACCTAGCATACAAGGCTTGTGTGAAAACAAAGCAGCTGTAAATCATTGCTAGATGTATGTTAGCATTTCCTCACTTTGTTTGAACTTTGGATTTTTCCTTATGATTAATAAATAACATACTTTCCAAATCGTGGGTTGTCTAGTTAGCATCTCACTGATTATTTTGAAGGTACAACACAAATACTGCAATCAGGAGGTCACCAAATTTCCAGTACTGAAAATTCTGGAAGTCTCTAAAGTAAATTACAAGTCCAGTTCTTTATACATTCATTTCTGGGAGCAAAATACTTATGTTTCAGGAGAGTAGCTGCAGCTTATTCAGCATGGCCCATTATCACAGAATGCTATATTTTCAAATGACATTTTCCAGCCTGGGTATTTCTGCCAAACCGAGGTTGTTTAGTTCTTTTTTTTTTTTTAATTTCAGACAAAACGGTTCATCGGTTTCTGAGAACAAAGCTAGCAAAAAATGTCCAGAAAAGCTCTGCAGCTCCATGTTTTCAGGCAAGAAATCTTGATCAGAGTAGCCTTTGTGTCAACGACATGGCTATAACCCTTTCAAAGTCCATTTGAGTCAGTCTTATAAAATGCTGTTAAAACCTGCTGTTTGCATGGGCTCAGGAAAGATCTGTCAGGGTTAATGCTGGGCCTCTCCAGTTGTCACCGTCTCCAAACCGCACATGGACAGCCCCGCAACTTTCCAGGAACCAGTGCCAGTTTACATGGGACATTCCCTCCATTCTGCCTGCCCCACAGCCACATGGCAAACTCAATCCAGTCACTTGAGTTAAAAGATCCCAACCCAAACAGGCAGACAGGAGGAAAATACTCTTCATCCAGTTTACGATGGGGAGGCCAGGGTAAGAGCGTGCTGCAATCACAGGGAAGGGACGTTCCTAAAGCCAGCAGAGAGAGCTGGAGCTGCAAGTTCAGGCCTTCCAGCCTGCAGACTCCAAGCCATGGGCAGCCAGGAGGGCCCCATCACAAAGCCTGTCAAACTGGAGCAAGACTGGGAAGTGAAACAAGGAAGGAAATGACTGAAGTTTCACTAGCGTTTCTTCTGGCGAGCCACCAGTTTACACAACTCTTCATCACCAGCTCCCTACCAAGCCTGTAGTTGCAGCAGTCCAAATGGCACATAGCCCTAAGAGGAGAGTCTTTTACTGGTGGTGGGCTGGTTCTAACCTAGACTAGGTTTCCAGTACAGATACCTGTACTGCTTCATAGAGGAGGGATGGGGACAGTGAGAAAGAAAGTAAAGAGGAGAGGGCAGCAGCTTATTTAACACTGCAATGATCAACAAAAACTATCACCAAACTATGCTTGAGAAGCAATTCTGCATTGCTCAGCGGAAGAAAATGAAAATTTAACAGAAAGTGAACTCTTCCAAGTCAATGAAGAAGAAGCCAGCCCAGTGGGGAAGGAAATGAGTATACTGGGACTAGGAATCTTGTATGTCTGGGCTCAGGCAAGTGAAAGAAGAAAAAGCACATGATGTCCTTTCCGGTGGAGGGAAGCTATTTATGTTGGCCCAGCTGCCCACGAAATGGCAGCCTATGGCTGGGAGGAAGAGGAAAGAGGGAGTTGGCTCAGAAAAGATGCTTGGAAATGGAGACTTGGACTGTTGGGCAAAGAACTGGAGGGCTGGAGGCAGACATTAAGTTCACAGAGAAATTACTGGTTTGAAAAGGGGTTGTATGGGAATGAACCAATGACTGAGCACCTGGTGAAGGTACACAGCCAGCCCAGGGAGCACAGGTGAAAACAATTCACCTGTGTGACTGGAACCAGGTTCCACCTCTCCCTAAGCCTCATTTAAGGGGTGGCTGCTCCAAGGGAAGGATCTGTACCTGCAGATCCTTCCTTTTGGTGTATTTGTAAGACCTGATCCTGGGGGGTGGTAAGTAATTCTTTCTTTCTTTAACTGGATTGTGACCATCAACTTTTTGGGGGGCAATTTAGGCTATCTGCCATTGATTTTCCTTATAGGGGCATTTTATCATATGGATGTGTTGAATCCAGTTACTGTTTTCAAGACCCAAGAAGAATAATCTATTCTTACAAGTACTAAATTAGCTTCTTTTTTTTTTTTTTTTTTTCTATAGTACTCTAGGCAAATTAAAATAATAATACATGATAATACAAGTAAGGAAACCCACGTCCACCCTGCTGAACCACACCGCCTCTTTAAACCATGCTGAGATGAGAGCTGCTGGTGAAGTACCCTTCAAATCTCTGTAAGAATCATTGAAAAAGCAAACAGGGAGCATGGTTTTATCTGATTTACTCCTTCCAAAGTTGTGCAAGGTGTCTATACTCCCACAAACAGTTACTGTGGTGAGATTTTTTTAATCAAAAGTACCATTTCAGCAAACACTACACTAGTATGTATTTATGCTTTAGGTGGGCAAGGATATAATCAAATGAAAGGGCATATATTGAGAAATTGAGAGGTTGCTGAGAACTTTTCAGCAGATATATCTAGAAATCAACTGAGTAATGCACATATATACATCCATATCCCATACCAAATATCTGGGCTTTTCCCACATTTGTTACTTGTTACCATGTCCATTTAGCCTGAAGGAAAGAACTCTTCATATGAAAACCAGTTATCAATGCACGGTAGAGAAGACAACAGACTATCTACTACAAAACCTGCAGTGGCTTTTGCTGTGCCAGCAATGTGTAACACCATGTGCTGCCAAGATGAGAACAGGTAAACCCTGATCCAACAAAAAAAGACTTTCTTCAAAAGGTAGGGTTGGTGTCTGGTACTCACAGCCTGTGAGTGCTACTGAAGACTAGGGAAGTTGATGTGAAATTTACTTAGCCTTACATTTGAGCTATTCTTCACAACAACCACACCTGTAAAAAGTAAAGAAGTTTTAAGGGCTATCTGAATTCAAGCTTTTTGTCATGCAAAATGAATACACTCAGTAGTGACATGACTTATTTATGTACCTGCAGGGTATTCCTTGGAAATTACATAGCAACTTATGAAAGCAATGGGAACATTACTAATATAACACCATGTCATCTCCTGATATCAGTGTAAATGCCTTGGATCACCACAGTATTTGATAACATCACAAAGATAAATGTTTCATCCATGCATAATTCCAACAGTGGAGGATGAATGTGGCAGCAAGACAATTTGCATTCCTGCAAACGTACCAAAGCTCAATGGATATAACTGACACAAAAATGTAGAAGTATTTTAGAGAAGCACTGAAAGTCGGTGTCTGTTTCTGTGGAGAAAGATTGAGGTGAGTGTGTTCAACCATGCCATAAAGAAAAAACCAAACTTACTTCATAGTTTTCAAAACCTATCCAGGGAGAAAGGATTATGGTCTGACTTCCAATCCACAGTGAATTAATTACTTGTTTGTTACTGAGTACAAAAGATTAAACTGAAGCTTTAGGCAGAGCAAGTCTGATGCGGCTGTGCATCAGTGATTTCAACTGCTGGTCATAAAAACAAAGTACCATTTTAAAAGTTACCAAGCTTTCTTAGTGTTGTTCTATGCCCATCACTGGATCCAGGTGCAGCAGCTCCAGAGACAAACAGGTACCACAGCTTGCTCCTGCATCTCCATCTTCACAGCCCCATACAAGTCATCCCCAAGAAGTCCATTCCTATGTACTCTATACCAGGTAATTCTTGCTCTCATTACAATTAAAACTGTGTGCTTACTCTGTGATCTCGGCAAGAGACTTATTAAAGTCAACCAACAGCAGCTCTTTGGTAGTACAAAAGCTTGTTTTGAGTACCTAAAGCAAGCCCAGTCAACAGAACCCTGGACTTTTTATGGGTTACCTTCAGAAGCTCTGAGATACCACTGATACCTGCAAATTCATGAAGGAAAACCAATAGGAAAGCAAGTAACAGTACTAAATATTAAATGCAAAGAGCACAGCTGTATGAAGCAGTTGAATCCCTTGCTAGCTATACTGCAGACATGGACAGGTGGGATCATGGATTAAGGAAGAGGTAATGATAAATAAAAGAGAAAGGAATCAAACACAGTGAAAATGCTGATAATTGAAGACTATGTACTAGAGCTAACGCTTTCAGCAATGTTTGTCTAAAGCACAGCGCTCAGGGAAAGTGCATTAGCATCCCAAAACAAATGCAAAGCCCAGTTCAACCAAACAGCTTCATATAAATTTTATGTTTCTGTATTGCACATTCAAAAGCTGTGAGGTGTGGAAGCTGTCTGCATGGTAAATTTCCGTCTAGAGAAAATTTCCCCAGACTGAGGTTTCAAGCACAAATGCAACATGTTTTCCATTAATACCACTAAAAAATTCTGCAGATGTTGCAGGATGATGTTATTGCTTATAAAAAGTAACAATAATGCAGACAAAGAAAAGATTGTTCACAATTCTTTAGAAACTCTGGGGAATTTCATGGTGAAATACAGAGGTTAATTTGGGATCAATGCAGACCTACATGAACTTTTCAACGCTGAGAAGAATCTGAGGCACCACTGTAAGACCAGAATAAAAAAAAAAAAGGTAAGGGAACAACAATGATTGAAAAGAGTTTGATATTTATCCAATCCTGCAAGCAAGTTACTTCATTTTCAGTCTAAAGTCTCAGTCCAGAAAACTGTTCTACATGGGCAGCACTGTGCTTCACCCATGCAATACAATTTTCAGGATCAAAGATTTCAGAAAATTCTCATGTCAGCCTATAGGCATCATGTGAAAAGTTTTGCACTTTTCATGCAGTGGAAATCAAAGCTCTCAAAGTGTATCTGAAAACTGTGAATCCCTGTGACTTTCAATGGCATCTCAAGAGACTCCTGGCAAGCTCCTGCCTCCTCTGTGAGCCTGTATGCTGTGCTTGCCAAGATTGCATTGAGCCTGTCCCTGGAACAGGACCAGAGAGATGATTTATCTGGAGCAATGGACTTATTGGATCAACTGTCCAGTCTTGCTCTTGCCAGCTCTGCTGAGTGGTGGCAGAGAGCAGTGAAAAACAGGCAAGAGAAAGTAACACCTGCTAACGTTGACCTCAGCATCTCTACCAAAGCATGTAAGACCAAAGCAAAGCGCTTAATTCTTGTGATCAGGTTATTTCCCACCAGGCTGCTCCTGCTCAACAACCCTATGATGTATGACGAAATTACTCACCGCCAGCAAGAGCTTCCTCTCTTGTGCTGTCACCATCACTAGGCTGAAGAATATTCCAGGATGTCAGAGTGAGTGAAGCCATGTCTTCAGCTGATGACAACTTCAGCATGTCCATGTGATTGCTGTGAGGTTTGTAACGTGGGATGAAACACTCTTTGCCTTGCTTAAAAATGTCTTTGATGATTTCTTCTGTCTGGATTTCATCTGGCATGCTCAGAAAGATTGCAATTCTTTTGGATTCTTGGTACTTGGAATGCCCAATCACCTATAAAGGAAACTGCCATCATCAGTTCAGGGAGAGTTCACAAAAAGACTGACTTTATTTTAATTAAAAATACCACTGGAGGAAAATACCCATTGGAGTATTGTAGAAATATAAGTACAAATACAAATTACCATAAAGAGAATAAAATGACTTTGTTTCCTGTTCCAACACTTCCACCATCAGCAAAATCAAAATAAGCAAATTTTTGTACCCAGCTAAAAATAAAATAGGTTGAGACTAACAACAAAACAATTTTGGAGTCAGTCTGGACCCTTCAAGTACTTATGCCATACAGCACCAGTATCCTTAAATACCCAACATCACTGGGGACAAATACAGCAGCTCAGAACTGCCAGAACTACATGAGGTTTTTGCATTCCTTTAATTCCATCTTTGTTATATGCTGTTCTTCATAACTGGACCTGGCCACAGTGAGAAGTGCATTGATTACAACATTGATTACAATAACCCAAAAGAAGATGTGCATCAGAGCTGAGTGCAGAGCTCAAAGTCTTAGAAGATCAGGCCTTTCTTTTGTTAATCTGGGATGCCTTTCCACAAGCAAATTTAGATATACAGCTACAAACATCACCTGCTTTTGATGAGCAATCTTATTACTGTATGTTTTTCAGAGGTTGAAGGAAAGATGGACTTGCATGTTTTTGATTTTCAGGAGGTTGTCTGTGCTGGACTTAGGAAAGATTGAATGTGGGAAGGAAAACAAAAAGCAGTGAATGTGGTTTAAAAAAAACAAATGAACGGATTCATACCTTGCTGTGTCTCTGTCCAATTCCAGATTAAATCCCGTATTATGATTTGTGAGGATTTTTTTTAAAGGCCTATCTTCTCCTTTTCTAGTTTATTACAAAACAAATACAAATGGGTCCCTTGTGAATTAAATGGGATTTATAATTGTTCTACACGCTTCCAGACATCTCTCAAGAATTGAGAAATGGGGCTTATCAATGAACAGAGAACAGCAAATCCTCTGTGTTTGCCTAACTTCAGGGTTTCTGCCCTTCTGAGCTTTAGCCCTTGCACTTGCTGGAGAAAGATATGCTAATATCTGAGTTTCAAATTGGTTCTCATTCCTTTTTGTTCTTTCTTTCTAGCACCCCAGTTACAAACCCAGTATCAAAAGACGGATACATTTTTGGAAGGTAAGATATAATGAGGTACTCAAGCCCTAATTATGGTAATGTTCTGCTTGACGATGTACCTAGCAACTCCAAAGTGTATTTTATTTCTCTTTGTAATTTACCCAACCTTACCCACAGACTCTTCCAACTAAGTAATTAAGCTTTTGAACAACAGAATCTCCATGCTAGCCTTTGTTTGAAAGAACTGACTACTGAGTTGAATCACAGCACTGTCTAAAGCCTGCAATTCATGTTACTGAAGGGTTCCCTCACCTTCTCATGGCTTCAGAGAACAGAGAAACTGAAACACACAGCTCTCCTCTTTCAGAGTGGTGCTGTGGGCACCATACAGGCCAAATGTGTTCTGACATGTCCAACAACACATTGATTATGCAGTACAGAAAGAAATGAGGTTGGAGATGTAAAACCACAAGCTACCAGGAAGACAAAATTAGTGATGTTTTCTGAAACGTGAAGATGAAGCTGCTCTGAGTAGTTTCTGAGAAGAGTAAAAAAATTTCCACGCTTAAAAAATATTATGTGCCCTCTGCTCACCCGCTGATGGCTATTACTGCAGAATCAGAGCATGCAAACAGCACGACTTCAATCATGGATGTGCACATTAAAGAAGAATAGTCATCCAGTAGCTAATTAAACACCAGTGGCTAGGCCAACTAGCGTAGCAATTTCAGTTTGAACTTAAAGATCGTTTTGAAAAGATATTTTGCTTCGATAAATATTGTTCAGGTGCTATAAAATAATGTGCTTGCTTTTATTAGCTGCCATTTCTGGTGTGTATTATAAAGCTGCACTTTGAGCCTCATGCTGTTCCAAGTATTTTCTCAGCACTCTCAGAAACTTCATGTCTATTGCATCGCTTTCCCATGAGGAAGTTGACTGCTTTTTGTCATTGCAGAATGCCACCCTGTCTGAAGAAAGCTCTAGACTTTCAACTTGTGTCATACTAGCAAAATGTCATGGTGGCATGAATTTGTCATATCTCCCCAGCCTTCCTTTAAGTAAAACAAAAGCTTTACCTTTTAGCATGTTCATACTACCAACAACAAATGTGTTGCTGCTGAGTGTATCAGCTGTGGTCAAACCAAAGGCTGAGAGCTCCAACTATTCTGCATCACATGGCCTGGGTGCTTATAAGGTTGGCCGAGGACTGTGCATTTTTAGACAGTGTTCCAAAAAACTGGAATTTAAGGATGGAAATTACTACAGTGCAAACATATTTTAGTAGGACATTATATATATATAAAAGAGGAAAGAAAGAATGAAACATTCCAAATTAAAAAAAAAAAAAAAAAAGCATACATGAGTTCTAGTTCAACCTCTGTCCTAAAGTTTCTGTGCTGCTATGTCATGAAGTGGCTGCACATCACTATTAAGTTAAGCTTATAAAATGATTTCAGGTCCTTTTGCAGGAAAATAACTACAGAAATGCAGATCACCTACATGCACACGCTGGTGCTGCAAAAAATAAATTAAAAAAAATAGAGCTGTGTTCTATTAAGCGCAGTGACTGCAAAATATCTTTTATTGTGTTTATTAAAATGATAAAATACAGCAATATAAAAATTCAATCACCCAAATGCAAACAGAAATTCCGAAAAGCACGGCTGAGGTGAGCCCTGCCCGGTAGCTTTAAAGCATGGAAATTACATTAGGAACAGAACTGCACGGAAGAAGCACACTGAAAGGCACGAACGGGAAACGGCAGCCGAAAGGCCGCAACCAGTCAGTCGCAAAGTTTTCAGACGCGCTTTGCTGGGCGCGCAGCGAGAGCGATGCGACAAACGCAAGCCGAACGCCTGCCGCAAAACCCCGCCGCTTTGGGCTCTGTCGCAAAGCTCGCCTCCGGCCTCACCGCCTCCCGGCACGCAGCGCTTCCCGCCGCGGCCTACGATCCCGGCCGCCGGCTGAAGGCAGGGAAGAGCTCGTTCCTCGCAGCGCCCCAGGAGCGGGGGGCCCTGCAATGCCCGCAGCCCTCCCCCCGCCTCCGGGTTCCGCTCTTCCTGGAAGCACCCACCTTGCGACTCAGCAGCCGGGACTGCCGCTGCTTCTCCGCCGCGCCCAGGGCCCGCAGTCTGTGCCGCAGCTCCGCTCGCAGCGCCCGCTTGGCGGCCCCCAGCGCCGCCGCCATTTCGCCGCCGCCCTCCGCCGGCGGCTCCATGCAGGCCGCGGCACCGCCTCGCCCCTCGCCGAGCTGACGGGCCGGGCACCCCCGCGGTTTTCAGTTCGACGGGGAGGGGACTGTGGGGCGGCGGGCTGGCCGGGGGTGCTCGGTGGCCTCTGAGGGGAGTTCATCCTCTGTCCACGCTCGGTCGGTCACCTCCGCTCAGCGCTGCCTGCGGGGAGCTGGGCGGTCCCGTGGTTTTGGGCCAGGGAAAGCTCCGGTGGGCTCTGGGCACGGTTTGTGCTTCATTTGGCCGCTAAGCTGTGAGGGTGCAGAGTCACCAAATCTTCACGGTTGGAAAGGAGCGCTACGATCACCCGGTTCAACCCCAGCCCACCCCACCGTGCCTCATGTCCCCCAGTGCCACATCCCCACGGTTCTTGAGCACCTCCAGGAACGGTGACCACAGCACCTCCCTGTGCAGCCTGTGCTGCTGCATCACCGCTCTTTTGGACACGTTTTTCCTAATATCTGACCTAAACCTCCCCTGCTGCAACTTGAGGCCATTCTCTCTCACCCTATTGCTGTTACTGGGAACAGAGGCTGACCCCTGCCCCAGCACAACCTCCCTTCATGCAGTTGCAGAGAGCAATAAGGTTTCCCTGAGCCTCCTCTTCTCTAGACCGAATCATCCCAGCTTCCTCAGCTGCTGCCTGTAAGATTTGTGTGTCCAGGCCTTTCACAGCTTCACTGTCCTTCTCTGGGCATGCAGAAGGGTGAGACCAGTGCCATGCCAAAACATCTTCAAGGCCTGTCATTTCTTTTTTCAGTCTAGCATCGATTGCAGAGAATTTCCCCTTTCTTAATTTTGTTGTAGAAAGGGAAATTACACTTCAGCAGGATATTTGACCACTGCCTGCCAGATAGTTTCACATCCCTACAGGCCCTGGTGATGGCTGGAGGACCTGGAATACGGATGAGATTTCGTGGGCTGCGAGGAACAGAAAGCGCTGCACCCACAGCAGCTTCACTCCCCCTGTGTGCAGGCCTGGGTGATGGGCTCAGAAGGGAGATACTGCCAATGTCCTTTGGTTTCCTCATTATTAGGGAAGTGGAAACAGGCACTGTCATGCATCTGCTCTAGGTGTTCATAGAATCATTGGAAGGGACCCTTGAAGACCATTTGGTTCTACTCCCCCGCACTGAACAGGGACACCTACAGCTGATCAGGTGCTCAGAGCCCCATCCAGCCTGACCTTGGGTGTCTCTAGGGACGGGGCACCCAGCACCTCTCTGGGCAACCTGTGCCAGTGCCTCACCATCTTTATTGTAAGAAAAATCTTTGCTTATATCCAATGTAAATCTCCCTTCTTTTAGTTTGAAACCATTTCCTCTTGTCCAACACACATTTCCTCTTGTCACAACAGACCCTGCTAAAGAGTCTGTCTCCTTGCTTACACTCCATCTTTAGATACTGAAAAGG